GCCCTTGACCGGAATCGAACCCGGGACTCTTCAGTCCCCAGGCCAATGCTCTATTCAGTGAGCCAAACCGGCTAGGGCTACTTTTATGTTTTTGTAAATATAAATTTAAATTTTTAAACAATGTCTAAAATAAAAATGCTTTGTGTATATTTTATTCAAGTGAAAATTATCTTTTTGCTACAGTGATGTTTTTTGTTTGTTTTCAGGAGCTGAACATCCTAAAATAAAAGGTAAGTGTATTTTTATAATTGAATATTTATATTACAGAATTGAAGATAATAAAGTATTATAACTTTTGTGATATATGTATAGTATATTGATACAGCGTGCATTTTTTCTCAAATAAAAAAGTGTGGCCCCTGACCAGTTTGGCTCAGTGGATAGAGCGTCGGCCTGCGGACTGAAGGGTCCCAGGTTCGATTCCAGTCAAGGGCATGTACCTTGGTTTCGGGCACATCCCCAGTAGGGGGTGTGCAAGAGGCAGCTGATCGATGCTTCTCTCTCATTGATGTTTCTAACTCTCTATCCCTCTCCCTTCCTCTCTGTAAAAAATCAATAATATATATATATATATATATATATATATATATATATATATATATTTTAAAGTGTCTTTTGCTGTGGTAAATTGTTTGTTTTTTATTTTTTCAGGCACTTTCTTAGCACAACGGGATGGTACAGAATTGGAAGAAAACAAAGGTACTGCTACCTTATATTTTAACTGAGGAGGATATGAACATGTGTTACCACTAGCCCAGCTTTAATATTAGTTTAGGCACAGAGGCTGTTTTTCATAGTGTGATAGACTTTCAGTCTCATTGTCACACCCCCTCCACAGCCTGCTGCCCAAAACCACCCACAGAGGGCATCTCCCGCACATGCCACTTTTGCCTCAAAACCTCTTTTTCACCTTTCCCGCAACACCCGGCAGCTCCTGACCAAACTGCCACCAGAGGAAAGACATCTCTTTGCATGATAGGTAGTGTTTTCTTAATTATTTTATAATCCAGAAGTTCCCAAATCTGGTTCTTTAGGATCACCCTTTTCTTTCTTATTCATATAGAATGACTACCAGAAGTTCACGGTTCACCCCCCGCCTCCCCACTGGCCGCACCCTCAGGATTTGTTAGGATTCCTGGGGACTAAACTCAATTATTTTTTTGTGTTCCCCCTCTCTTGTTATCTTGCTTCCGAGACCGCTGTTGTTCCCACCACCAGCAGCCTTCATTATTCCCTTTCTTCTTCCCTCCCTCTTTCCCTTCCTTCCAACCTAGCTTCAGACCGCAGGGCAGAGAGATGAGTTCATGATACTCCTCTGCTCATTGCACATGATTGTCCCTGGTCCAGGCAAGACCCTACTCTTGTTTTATTTATTCTCTTTTGCCCCCTTTGCTTACTCGCATTCGCCACAGCAACCATTTTAATGGGATTTAACATGAATGTCTGTTTACATGCATTCTCACCCAGTGTGCATGGTTATTCTGTGAGCATTCATTTTTAATTCATATAGCATTTTGTCATAGATCTCAAATTTCCTTTTCTTCTTTTCACAAAGCATTCCGTTTTCAAGATCTGTCCATGTTGTTCTGTGGCTATTGAGTCTGTTGCTTCGAACGCTGCATAAAACTCTGTGGTGTTCATCTTTCGTAATTTGCTCTCCGCCGTCTCAGTAAGGGACTCGCAGCCCCCAGTCTGCACTGAATAGCCTCTCCTGAGGTGTGTGTAGGAGGACTTCTTTGAGACCTCTATCTGGCAAGAAACGGAGGTCTTGAGGTACACATCTGCGTGTTCTCCGACAGAGCTGTCCAGTCCTCACCTCTCCCAGCCATGCTTTAGGATTCTCCTCAGTCGCACCAACATTTAGCAATACCCAGCTCTCTAATTTTGCTGTCCTCACACTGTCGGACGATATGGCACTGTTTAATTTGAAAGTGTGTAATAACCAATAATTTTAAATCTCTTTTAATAGGCATGCCAGCTGTTTGAGTTTTTTCTTCTCTTTCTTTCATCTTTGCTTTTGCCAGTTAACATATTTTGCCTCATTTCATGTCGGGATTGCGATCTTCTTTCTTGTTGGTTGGCATTCCAGATATTAATGCATTTTTCAGTTGAAGACATTGCAGATGTCTTCTTTCATTCTGCTACCCATCTGTTGAGTTTACTTGTAGTGAGCTTTGCTGAATAGAAATCTTTAATCTATACAATCCAAGTCATTGATTGTTTTTCTGATGGTTAGTGCTGTCAGGCTCCGTGCTGCTCTTCTGACATCTAGTACACGTCAGCTACACTGCACTTCCCCATCTTCCTTCGTTGAGAGTTTAGTATGAATGCTGAGACTTCTCTTTGATTCATGAGAGTGATTTTGTGAAAGCTCCGAGCAGAGATCTCTCTCTCTCTCTCTCTCTCTCTCTCTCTCTCTCTCTCTCTCTCTCTCTCCCCAGAAAATAACCTATGTGTGTGACATAACAGATACATGTATGTCCCTTCTAAAAAGAACTCGGGGAATCCAGGGCTAAGACACAGGATTGCTGCAGCAGAGTAACACTGCCCTCTGGGAAGCAACCTCATCCAAAATAGAGCCACATGTTGGTGGGAATCCACCTTTGGATCCTGTGTCAAAGACATCAGGATCCTGTGAGTGACCGAAAAGGGCAGCAGAATAAGATGAAATCATTCCACAGAACTTAAAGCAAAATCTAAGGAAGAAAGAAGAATCTTTTTTGTTTGTTTATTTTATTTTTTTGTATTTTATTTTTATTTATTTATTTTTTAAATAAATCTTTATTGTTCAGATTATTACAGTTGTTCCTCTCCCCCCCCCCCATAGCTCCCCTTCATCTGGTTCCCACCCCACCCCATGCCCTTACCCACCCCATTGTCCTCTTCCATAGGTGTAAGATTTTTGTCCAATCTCTTCCCGCACCCTGCACACCCCTTTCCCCCCCACCCCAAGAATTGTCAGTCCACTCCCTTTCTATGCCCCTGCTTCTAGTATATTCACCAGTTTATTCTGTTCTTCAGATTTTTTAATCACTTGATTTTTAGATTCACTTGTTGATAAATATGTATTTGTTGTCACTTTGTTGTTTATAATTTTTATCTTTACCTTTTTCTTCCTCTTGTTAGAGAATACCCTTCAGCATTTCATATAATACTGATTTGGTGGTGATGAACTCCTTTAGCTTTTTCTTGTCTGTGAAGCTCTTTATCAGACCTTCAATTCTAAATGATAGCTTTGCTGGGTAGAGGAATCTTGGTTGTAGGTTCTTAATATTCAGCACTTTGTATATTTCTTGCCACTCCCTTCTGGCCTGCAAAGTTTCTGTTGAGAAATCAGCTGACAGTTGTATGGGTGCTCCCTTGTAAGTAACTAACTGTTTTTCTCTTGCTGCTTTTAAGATACTTTGTCTTTAGCCCTTGGCATTTTAATTATGATGTGTCTTGTTGTGGTCCTCTTTAGATTCCTCTTGTTTGGGGTTCTTTGCACTTCCTGGACTTTTTTCTTTCACCAGGTAGGGGAAGTTTTCTGTCAATATTTCTTCAAATATGTTTTTAACATCTTGCTCTCTCTCTCTTCTTCTGGCACCCCCATAATTCAAATGTTGGTACACTTGAAGTTGTCCCAGAGGCTCCTGACACTATCTTCATATTTTGGGATTCTTTTTTCTTTTTGCTTTTCCAGTTGGGTGTTTTTTGCTTCTTCATATTTCAAATCTTTGATTTGATTCTCGGGATCCTCTAGTCTGCTGTTGGATCTCTGTATATTGTTCTTTATGCTTAATTTCTGATTGGTCCTGTTTCATATCCTTGAAGGTCTCACTAAATTTCTCGGAGGTTTCTAGAAGATTCTTGAGTAACCTTATAACTGTGGTTTTGAACTCTGTATCCAGTATTTTGCTTTCATCCATTTCTTTCATTTGTGAATTGTTTCTTTGTCTCCACATTTTGGCTGCTTCCCTGTGTTTGTTTCTATGTACTGGGTAGCTGCTAAGTCTCCTTGAGTTGATAGAGTGGCCTTGTGTGGTAGGTGTGCTATAGGACCCAGTGGCTCAGCCTCCCCAGTCACCTGAGGTGGATGCTCTTGGTGTATCCCTTTGTGAGTTATTTACACAGTCTTGTTGTAGTTAACCCTTGATTGCTGTTGGTATTACTGGGAGGAATTGACCTCCAGGCCAATTGTCTGTGTTGACCAGCTGTGTCTACACTGGAAGATCTGTTGCGCAGGAGACACCCTTATGGGGCAGGACTTGCTTCAGTGGGGCTTTGGTGCTCACGGAGTCTGCCCCTTGAGTGTGTCTCTTATGGATGTGAAGAGTTGTAATCCATTATCATCTCCAAGGAGGTGTAAGGTCAGCCACTGTCTGGGGCCTCCCAGCAGGAGCTACAGAGACATCTGCAGATTCCTCCTCTTGGTATGGGGTTTAGAAGTGCCCAGACGAGGCACAGCTATGAAACAAGGCCACTGCTGCTGCCAGGTAGTGGGCCTTCTTTTGGAATCTCTGGGGCTCTCTGACCCAGCTGCAGTTTGTTTTAGGCGAAAGGACAGGCCATTCATATGCAAAAGCTGATGCACACAGCTTGGGTGGGGTTGTAAATTGGGTGGGGCGGGGTCTTGGGAATCACCAGGGCGGAGCACACAGCAATGGCTTCCCTGAACCAGAGAAGTCCCTGGTTCTTCACATCCTGAGCACCCATGCAGGAACAATGATATCTGCAAGCACTCTAAGAGTAAGCCACCCTCACGTTCCTGTCCCAATGCCACACAGTCCAGTTTCTCCCCATATGTGCCTGGGTCCCCCAGAGTCTCACCCATAACTGGAGTTCAGAGCAAGCAGGAGCTTATATCTCCCTCCCGTTTTAAAGAACAAAACATCCAGGTGCCAGCACTTTCCGCACCTCCGCACCTCTTACCAGTCTTAATGCGCTTTCTTCACCTCTCTAGTTGTAGAATTTCTACTCAGCCAGCTTTCCCGCGGTTCTGGGTGGTAGTTGTTCTGCCATTTAGTTGTAATTTTGATGTGGTTGTGAGAGGCAGCAAGTATAGGTGATTACCTATGCCACCATCTTGGTTTCTCTCTGTTTTATTTTTTGCTTTTGACTTCTGCATCCCAATGTCTGATACTAACCATGCCTGACACTGAAACCAATGAAATATCATTGTTTGCATGACCACTGAAAGAAGTGCCTTATTATGTACAAAAGGAGAGGAGCCTTTTCAATGACTCTTTTGCTCAGTGGCAGTGACAGCTCCCTACCTAGGTAAGGACCTTATGAGTGCAGAGTTGAATGAGAAGCTTTCCTTCTCTGATCCGGGCGTTTTGCTTGCTCTAAATGCAGGAAACTGCAGCACCATGAGCTTCACCATTCACTTATATCAACAGACACCTCAAGTTTATGCCTGCCAAATTCTACACAGTTCATTTTGAGCCTTCAGAATTATGTAGCCAAAAAAAGGAAATGAGATGATGTGCTTTGGGGATTTTGTACTGTCCTTTTTAAAGGGAGGACAAGTTTTAAGACAGAAAATTATTATCCAAGTTTAATGATTGTAATGATTTGAGTTTTACTATTAACATAATTTTAAGCATTGAAAATTTGTTTTATTATAGAAGAAACAGAAACTTTGACTGCTAATATGGATGCAGGTAAGTTAACATTACTATTTTTTCTATTGGTGCACTGGTTTAATTTTAATGTCAAGTGTGTATATATATATATGAGTGTGTGTATATATATATATACTATAACTAACTAAGCAACAATTACCTTTGGTATAAATTTAAGTAGAAAAAATAACATTACTTCTCTCCTTTCTTTAATAAATACTTCTTGAGAACTGCTTTAAAAATTGATTAATACATATGACTAATTTTGAAGTGAAACAATACTATGGTCTTACATAAAGTTTTTCTATTTGTTTTGAGCTTTGTCAGGTCAGTTTTGTTGAAAACAACAAAATTTCAAGTATGACCTAGGACATTTTGAAATAGAAAAATAATGGATTTGATTGAACAAGCTATTCTTTTTCAATGTTTTAAACCATGATACTAGAAGGTCTGTGAAGATCTGTGCTCTGGCCAGTTGTGCACTATAAGCCAAATTAAATTTAAGTATTAAGTTCCTGGAAAATTCATAAGAGCTTTCAGGTCAGAGTGACTTGTATTAAATCCTGACTCAGTTATTTATTAGCTATATAACCTTAGATGAGTCACTTAACCTCAAATACAAATTGGGAATAAAATAGCTCCCTATTTTAGGGATATATTAAACTGAAGTTCACACAAGACTCCCTTCTAATTGCCACGCTACAAAATTAATGAACATTGAAACAAATCAGGCAATAAATCAAGAATTTAGATCTCAAAGCTACAGCTACTCAGAAGGGATTTTCAACAAAGGCCCTTTATTTTCTACTCAAGATAACACTAATTTTCTGATACTACCCAAGCTGGTTCCACAGACAATGAATGAGGTCTCTCTTTTTCCCAAAGCCCAAGCTGACATTTAAAACTGGCTATGACACTCTTCCCCCACCTTAGGAGGAGTGGGAAGTTGTTCACAATATCTCTCCCTTGAGGACCTACCTCCTTATATGCTGAAAGCAATTGACAGTGATATTAATTTTCCTTTCTAATTTGGAGCTAAGAAGCACATCTGCAAAAAATGTTCATGTCATGGTGAAATAGAGAGAGAGAATACGGAGAGCATCTTACACAGTTACTTTCTTCCTTTGTCATGAATTCTCTTGCAAATTCACATCTTCAGCCTGGCTCTACCGTGGTTTCTTCCCAGTAACAAATGTGCCACATCTGAATGCTCACAGAGGAAGGAAACACCACTGCGTGTCAAGTGGCTATACACTTACCCCCTCTCGTGGCCAACTGACCGGGAGTTGTCTAGGGTTCTCAGCACATTATCTCTCAGGGTTAATATGATGATTAAATGAGTTAACCTCATACAAAGTGCTTAGCATGGGGTCTGACACACAGAAAGTATTGAAAATATTTCCATATAAACAGCCTCTAAAAAGTAAAAACAATGCCCTGGCCAGTGTGGCTCAGTTCGTTGAGCATTGTCCCATGCACCAAAAGGTCGCCAATTTGATCCCCATTAGGGCACATTGACGTTTCTCTCTCTCCCTCTCCTTTCTTCTCTCTCTAAAATCAATAAAAACATATTTTAAAAAAAGTAAAAACTATGAAAGTGAGAAGAAAAGGGTTTTCTCTGAGACTACCCTGAGCTGACCCAGGAGTAATGCCTGGGTATGTGGCATCTCTCATTGGCCAGAGGTTGATAAATATTTAGCCCTTTGGTCAGCCTCTCTCTGCCACTAGTTCACCTTGAGGAAGATTTCTGAGAGAATTGATCCAATTTTAATATTAAGCCAGAATTTTTAAACAAGATGAATAGTACAGTTTAGCATCCCAAATAATTTGCTAATGAATCTGGCCTCTTTCATATTAGCTGTGACTCTGCTTTTTTTGTGGCATAGATAATCCAGAAATGTCTGCCCACAAGGTAATGGGTCCAAAATCATGATATAATCTCTTCTTTTCTTGAAGAAAGAAAACAGATAAAGTCATTCCTCCCTAAATTATCCTGTGGAGTCAAACGCAGTGGACCCACTCGAAGGAAACGAGTCGTAGGAGGAATACCAGCACAGCCGGTAAACCTGCATGGAAGTCCTAATGTTCCTTCCTTCCCAGGAACAGCCTGAGTTTGGGGGGTGGGAGTGGGGGGAATGGCAGTCTTGCGATGGAAATTTCTTAGAGCCGCCTGTTTGTAGAATGGCAGTGACCACACACTTGTCTTTACAGGGAGACTTCCCATGGCAGGTGGCAATTAGGGAAGATGATAAATTCAGCTGTGGAGGAATTTATATTGGTGGCTGTTGGGTCCTGACTGCTGCACATTGTGTCAGGTAACATATGTCTCCACTTGATTGTGAATTTCCTGAAACATGAAAATGAGTAATAGAGATTGTGACAGATGATAAACAAAAATATATGAGAAAAGTCATTGACAAGTTCCACCCTACTGACCCCTAAAAACCCTCTGATATCACATCAGGGACCTCAGAGGCCAAACCCCCAAAGCCTACTGTGCTCACCACAAACCAAATTGTTGACCCCAGCTGGCAAGGGCAGATCAAACCTGTACAGGTACCAAGTGACTTCACTTGGCTCATTTGCATGGTGGGAAGTAGGTTGGTACTCCATACATTTATCTCCTCCATTGACAAGGCTTTGAGATTCTTGGGTCAGAGAAGTAGGGTAGGCATAGTGTTTCTGGATTTAACATTAGCATGTGACAAAAGATGTCTTATAATTAACTACAGATCGGAAATATAACTTTTTTTTTAAGATATATTTTATTGATTTTTTACAGAGAGGAAGGGAGAGGGATAGAGAGTTAGAAACATCGATCAGCTGCCTCCTGCACACTCCCTACTGGGGATGTGCCTGCAACCAAGGTACATTCCCTTGACCGGAATCGAACCTGGGACCCTTGAGTCCGTAGGCCGATGCTCTATCCACTGAGCCAAACCAGTTAGGGCCGGAAATATAACTTTTATGCAGGACCAATAAGGCAAGTTAATAAGTGTCTGGATTCATTCAAAAGGGATGTCATAACTAAACACAGAGTGGGTGTCTTAAACAACAGAAATTAATTTTCTCAGTCTGGAGGCTGGAAGTGCAAGATTAAGATATCGGTAGGGATGGTTTCTCTTTGGCTTGCTGTGGAGAAACAATCCCTACTGATATCATGTTCTTCTTACTGTGTCCTCACATGGCCTTTTCTCCATGAGCCTGAATTCCTGATGTCTATGTATGTATGCATTTTGTTAATCCTCACCCAAGGATATTTTTCCATTGATTTTTACGGAGAGTAGAAGAGGGAGGGAAGACAGAGAGAAACATCGATGTGAGAGAAACACAATGATTGGTTGCCTCCTGCATGAGCCCTGACCAGGGCCCGGGGGAAAGGGAGGAGCCTGCAACCAAGGTACATGCCCTTGTCTGGAATCGAACCTGGGACTCTTTGGTCCACAGGCTGATGCTCTATCCACTGAGACAAACCGGTTAGGACTCTTTCTGTTTTTATAAGGAGACCAGTATACTGGATTAAGGCTTCACTCCTATAACCTCATTTAAAGCTCTTTAAAGGCCCGATCTCCAAACACATCCAATCACATTGGGGATTCGGCTTCAACATGTGAATTTTAGGGGGACACAATTCAGTCCACAATAGTGACTGCAGGAAAACACCTAAAAGTGTTGGTACTGACTAAAGGTCATCTTTGAGAACACAGTTTGGAATTCTGGCCTCCGTTCTGCTCATTAGAATGAATGAAGTATTATTTATCGCGCACCTCTTACAGACCAAATGCTGTGCCTGGCACTTTCACATGTGTCTTTTTTTTAACATTCTCACAGTTCTAAGAAGTAAATACTACTCTTCCTTTATATAGATAAGCAGACTTAGACTGAGAAGTTACATGACTTGACTTACGCTACACTACTAGCCAATAGCAGAGCCAGGATAAAGTCAAGGTCGACGTCTCTGACAGTAGCTTAGATGAAGGCCTACTTAACAAATCTGCAGATGACCCAAAGTGGAGAGGGATGAGAAACATGTTGAATGATTAAATATGTTGGGTGATACCCATGAAGATCCTTATGGGTTGGAGCAATGAGCCAAAATGTAATTTCTTCCAAAATGACCCTTTTCTCTTGGCTTCTGTGGTACACACTCTCCCGGTTTCCTCTCATCCTCTGCAGAGGCCACACCTTCCCTGCCATTTTTGCAGCTTCCCCCTCCTGTGACTGAGCATTATAGCTCAGGTGAAATTCTGGAGTTCTCCAATATTGAGCCTGGTTTCCCCTTCTCTTCTTACTTTTCTCCTTAAAGTTAACTGTGCTTTATGCTAAAACAATGCTATCTGCTGACACAATGATATCTCCAGCCTGGACCTCTCCTCCAACCACTGACTATCTACAGTCAACTGTCTACCAATACTTCTTGGCTATATCTAAAGTACATTGAATTCAGAATCTCTAACACTGAGCTCATGATATGCCCCTCGCCCCAAATATGGGTCTGTTCCAGTGTTTCCCACCTCAGCAAATGACACCACCATTCATCTAGTTACACAAGGCAGGAATCTAAGCATCATTACATTTCTCTCCCTCAAGCTTACCACAGGCCAGCCAATATGTCACCAACTCTAGGTGGCATTTTAAATTTCTAATTATTTAATTCTCAAAACTTTCCGTCTCCATGGTTGCCCTGCTTTCTCCTCTCCTCTGGATTATACCAACTGCCTCCCAATTGGCTTATTTACATTCACTTTACCCACCTCCTCCCCCATCTATCCACGCTCTACTGTGCATCAAGAGCAATATTTCCATACCTGGTTTGATCAGTTATTGCTTAAAAGTCAATGGCTTTGCATTCCTCCTAGGATAAAAACAAAACAAAACAAAGCAAAAAACTAAACAAAAAAATGGCATGGCCCATTAGGCCCCATATGGCCTGAGCCCTGCTTACCTTAGTCAAACACATCTTGCTCCACAGCTTCACCTCCTGCTTTCTGCACCACCCACTCTGGACTTCTTTCAGCTACTCAAGTGCACTTCTCTCCCTGCTGCAAAGAGACCATCACATGTGTTTCCCCTGCCTGAATGGTCCTTCCTACCCTGTTTCTCTAGTTAGTGTGACTCGTTATTCAGATCTCAGCTTAATTTTCACTTCCTCACAGGACCTTCCTTGACTCCCTTAAGTCAAAGAGGCCCTCTTGGTAAGTTCTTAGAATCCATATGCTTTCATTCCTTTCACTTTTCACAGTAGAATACATACCTTCGTTAGTGTGATTATCTATTTAATGCTAAATCTTTCCATAAACCCTAAGCTCCATGAAGTCAGGAACTATTTCTGACTTTGCTCATTTCTGTATCCCAATGGCTACCATAGTACCTGGTATACAGTAGGTGCACACTAAGTATTTGTTTAGTAAATTGAATGCATAAACAGGGTTAACCTTTCAACAATATTCAGGACCTCTGATCCTGAAAAACAACCAAAATTAATATGAAGAACAGCATTTTTTGAACACTAAGTATTAAATAAAAGCATCCTGAATGCCTCATTATCTCCTAGGACATCATTGTTTAAGGTGATTACCTGGGAAAAATGATGGTAAGTGCCCAATTTGCTGGAAACCAAGAAGTGAAAATTGGTATGAAATGGAGTGAGGCATAAGAACAGGCAATATTTAGCTCATTCGCCATTTCAACCAGATTTTAAAACAGCTGCTATGTTTCATGTACAATACTAGGCATGGACATCTACCCATAGATTAACAAGACACTGTTTTTTACTTCAAGGCTGTGAGCAAGTCAATAGCAAGGTTAGGATGCAGTCTTAAAGGTCAGGATAACAACTGCTGTGTTCTTCGCTCTGAGAACCTCTGGGTTAGCAGAGTAATGAGAGTGTGTACTCTGACTTCCCAGTTCTGGGCTAGACACCTGCAAACACCTTCAGTGATGGTGCTCTCACTCCAGAGACAGCCAACTCATTCCCCTCGTGGGATTCTCTGGATGTCCCTGATATTGAGCAGTTAGAGTATTCCTCTCTTCATTTACCCACTGACTTTATTTTAACACTGTCCTTAAACTTAATCACACTGCTTCATGAGAGCAAAGATAAACAAAGAAATCTGGGAAAGTGATAAAAGTTCTTTAGAAGGGAGAATATAAAGAATATAAAGCTGCCAAAACAGGTTTGGCTCAGTGGATAGAGCATTGGCTTGCGGGCTGAAGGGTCCCAGGTTCGATTCCGATCAAGGGCATGTGCCTGGGTTGCGGGCACATCCAGAGTGGGAGATGTGCAGGAGGCAGCTGATCGATGTTTCTCTCTCATCGATGTTTCTAGCTCTCTATCTCTCTCTCTTCCTCTCTGTAAAAAATCAATAAAAAAATATATGTTTGGAAAAAAAAATATAAAGCATCAGAAGTCCTTGCTCATATCTTTCTTTTTTATTAACGTATTTTATTTCCCTTTGATTCCATTATAGGGTCAGTAAAATTCACCGTTACCAAATATGGGTATCATTGTTAGACTGGATAAACCCGAACTCTGGGATAACTGTTCATATGGCCAATAAAATTATTATCCACGAAAACTACAATGGAGCCACCTACCAAAACGACATAGCTTTGATTGAACTGAAAAAACGCCCAACACAAACTGATTGTGTGCTGCCTAGTACTATCCCTGCCTGTGTCCCCTGGTCTCCATATTTATTCGCACCTAATGATAAATGCATCATTTCTGGCTTGGGTCGAGAAAGAGGTATGCATTTTACAATTTGTTATCATCAGAAACTAGGGGTTGAAAACGAATGGGAATAGAAATGCCTAGGAGCTAGTCTCCTACTGCTCAGAGAGAATGGAGCATCCAATCCAGGGAAGTGAACATCCAGCGAGGCCGGCTTCTGTGTGTGGGACCTGCGTCCCGGCCCAGCATGCTGGGCTCTGCGGTGCCCGTGCTTGGCTTCCTGCTCCGCTGCCACCATCATGAAATTCTTCATTCTTTTTGCAGGGGTCCCACCTCACATTTTCCTTTTCCACTGACTTTCACAGATCCTGATCTGCATTTTCAAAGGATACCTACTCTCTGTGAGCCTAAAGCAAACATTGATGGGCAACCATTTACCAAGAAAAAGTATAGTGTCAGGGGGACATGTAGCACGGCTTGGATTTGTTGGCGAGATCTGGGTGGAAGATGAACAGGTTGTCATAGGGATAGAAAAAGTATATGCTGAGACAGTGACCCCACAACCCTCTGCTTTCTCCTCTCTTTTCCCCCATTCTCCATGCCCCACACCCCCACATCCCACAAAGAAAAAGACAACATGAAAAATTCCTTCTTTCAGCCCCTATGGTTTGAGATGAACATTCATATGAATAAGAGCTGTGGACACTTATGAACAAATTATTTAAAAGACCTGCTAAATGAGAGGTTAGATATAAATTAGCCAATACTTTTCTTTCGTCTTAAAGAGTTAGCCTTGAAATTTAGCTTCCTTATGACCGCTTAAACTCTCTTTGTAAATAACTTCATTGCATTGGTCTTACAGACTCATATTTCAATATGTCCTTTATAACCACCACACTAAAAAGTATAAAATATGTATGAATTAACCTGGATTGTGGTATGTTTGAATACCCAACACTTACAAAATACTAAATCATCCAGAAAGCATTATGTCCTTATATTTGTTATTTGTTTAGAATACTTAGGTACATTTATAAGGATACACAAAAATACAGGTAAAAGAATATAATAAACGTACTTATCACCTAGTTTCCACAGTTATCAATATTCTACCATTCTTGTTTTATCTCTCTGAATCAATCACTATTCCAATAGGATAATTAAGAAGGTTTATTTTTTTTATTTTTGTTCATCCTTATCCGGGGGTAACTTTCCATTGATTTTTTTAGAGAGAGTGGAAGGGAGGGGAGAAACAGAGAGAAACATCAATGTGAAAGAGACACATCAATTGATTGCCTCCCACACGAGTCCTGACCAGGGCCAGGGGTCGAGCCTAAAACTGAGGTACATGCCCCTAACCGGAATCGAACCCGGGACCCTTCAGTCCATGGGCCTATGCTCTATCCACTGAGCCAAACAAGCAAGGGCAGGAAGGTTTATTTTTCATTTTATTTTTTAAACTATATTTTTATTGATTTCAGAGAGGAAGGGGGAGGGAGAGGGAGAGAGAAACAGAAACATTAGTGATGAAAGATAATCATTTGGCTGCCTCCTGAATACCCCCCAATGGGTGTGCAACCTGGGCACACCCAGGTTCCCCTGACGGGGAATTAAACCATGACCTCTTGCTTCATAGGTCCACACCCAACCATTGAGCCACTCAGGCCAGGCGAAGGTTTATTTTTAAAGGGGTTAATTACAAAGATGTAGGTGTGGGGTTTGGGAACCACAAGGGCTATGCAGAAACCCAGTACTAACAGTACCAGAACTGACACCTTTCCTAGATTTGAACGTGTAAAGGGACGGAGAAACTACCAGAAGGAGAAACAGCTTTAGGTATAGCAATGACCTTGAGTTGAAGGTTATAGCCAGCCCCAATCTTGCTACCTTCTCTTCTTCCCTCCCTCCCTTCTGCTAGGTCTTCTGTTAGAAAGCAACTGAAAACCAGAGGCTAATGGATTTCTACTGAAGTATCCCTTTACCTCCAGGTCAGGCTCTTAGGGCAGCGAGCAAGGCATTGAAGAGTAGAGAGTGGATCTGTAGAGCTATTAAGCACATTTCCAACACACGCTTATTTTTTCCTGGAATATATTAAGTCAAATCCCAGATATCATGTAATTTCACCAGTGAATACTTTAGTAAAAATCTCGAGTATTTTTTATACTCAACAAAATGAAAGTGATTTGACAATGTCATCTAATAACCAGCCCATGTTTCATATTTCTCAAGGGATTCCTCTCCTAGGCAGGCAGGAGCCACCAGCTGGGAATGCTACCTTCAGACAGAACAATGTGACAAGTGCCTCAAAAATGGTACAAAACAATTTAGGGGAGGGAGCTATCTCCTGAGTCATTAAAATTGTCCCATGGTACAGCAGCTCCCAGTTTTTAAAGGCTTCTCCTGACTTAGGGGAAACGATAAATTACTAATTTTAAAAAGCTCGTATCCTGAGGAAAGTAGCCATCCTAAGACTAACTTGAGATAGGACCTGAAGGGGAAAAAAAGAAACTCTTCCCAGATTTGCCACATACTTTGGTGGGTTTTTGTCTCCCTCCACTTCCCAGTAGAGAGTATCAGTTCTGCAGTTAACTCCTATGTGCTCACTACAGTGCTAGGGTCTTCGGAGTCATTCTCTCAGGACAAGCCAGAGATCTCTGTCCCCAGGTAGTTTATGGGTTAACTGAGAAGTTAAGCCATTTGCCATTAGATGTTTAATATATAATTTAATTACTGAGTTCATGGGTTAATTATATAAGTTTTTATTAAGCAACTACCGTGTTAGCATGAGGCTGGGTGCTGGTGCAGCAGTGGGTGAGTCAGGCCTGGGCCCTGCCCTCCTGGAGCATAAAAGTTACTGCAAGCTGGGAAAAAGGAGGAGGAGGGGAGATGGGCAAAGATTCACTTCTCTACCTGGGACATCTCACCCTGTATTCTTTTTTTTTTTTTTTAATATATTTTATTGATTTTTCACAGAGAGGAAGGGAAGGGGATAGAGAGTTAGAAACATCGATGGGAGAGAAACATCGACCAGTTGCCTCTTGCATACCCCCGACTGGGGATGTGCCTGCAACCAAGGTACATGCCCTTGGCCGCAATCGAACCCGGGACCCTTCAGCCTGCAGGGTGACGCTCTATCCACTGAGCCAAACCGGTCAGGGCTCACCCTGTATTCTTAGGTTTTTCTCATCTTTCCTGGACTATGGATTAGCAACATTACCTGGTCCTTTGTTCAAGTCCCAAATCTCTAGCTTAAATGGAAAGGAAATCCTAAACCCTCTTTTAATCACTTTCAGATCACTTAGGAGATGGAGTTCCTCACAGACACACAAAAAAAAACACACCCACTGATAACTTCATATGCATTTATTT